ACGAAGCGCATGAAACTAGGCCCAGAACCGTAAGCGAGGTGGTGACCTTGCTCTTACCGATAAGTGCCGCGCTCATCCAACGCAGAAAGCGGTCACTATAGACTGCGGCAGTTAAATCTGAAACATTCCAGAGTCCAACGCAGAGTCCAATATCTAAATGGTGCGTCGCAATCCGGCGAGCTCACCGAGGCTGCCTCTATGTTCGCTAGCTGTGTACTATGGGAGCGTTCCCTTCAAGGTGAGGAGGGTCACAGCGGTAGCGACGCACGGTTCGGAGCGATTGTGACTGCCGGCCGTTTCTCTCTCTGGTGTTCGTTCCGAGTCCCTCGGTCGAAGGGCCGACTAGTCGTCTGGCGTCGGTGGGAGCTCTCGTTCCGTTCTGCCAGTGGGCACGGTCGAAGTCAAAGTCAGCTGGAGTGGTTTTATATCCGACTGCTCTATAAAGTACATTGAGACTTATTTTCCGTCCTCGGAGCAGCAATTCGTTGCTCCAGTTTTTTCCTCCCTCTCGATTTCCCTTGATGGACCAGATAAAGCAAGTGAGCGTCGCGAACACCGTTGCCGTCTCAGAGCCCCTACCTGGAGTCGAGGACATAAGGAGAATGGCAACGGAATTCACGACGAAACAACCCTGTTCCCTCCAGACGCCCAAAGACTGAACTGGAATCCAGTGCTACGCCTGGCGCTCTCGTCCGCCGTCCTTCGTGATGCTGCGAGGATCGGCATCGAGCCAGTCATCGACGTCGGCGACGCCGTCTCGTTTCCGCCGGTCCTCTCGCACGAGTCATCGGACTTAGAGGACCCATCTGAGTCAGCCTTTTATGAGCATCCTAATGCGACTTTCAGTCTAGATCGCTGGCCACACGGACCTCTGTCAGGTTCCATTACCAGCCTCCTAAAGCTCGCCGTCGAGTCTTCTCGCTCCTCTTGGTTCTCTCATTGAGTTTGATTCGGCGCCTTGTTCTTAATCCGGTTATCTGCAGGGAGAGCGATTCGGCTCTGACTTGCTCCGCCCGATGGATGGATAATTCATCATCATCGGGATTCCGCCCAGCTGTGTATGATATTCATGTGCGATCCGCCCGCCGGCGCCGATGCTCATTGTATTGCGAGCCCGGAACGCGCTCCAATTTCCCCGCTCAAAGTTTTCCGTCCGGAGCGAAAATCCTCTCGGAAACTCCCTATTCGACCGCCTTCCTGCATGCCCACTGTGCTGTGTCGAAAGCTCCAGGCAACGGCGCGCGGCTGCAACCCGAGATCGGTTGGCGTCCAGTCAATAACAATCGGAATGGCTAGCGATGGAAGGGGAAGAAAAAATCTTCAACGAGCTACGCGTAACGAGGAAACAGGAACATTGCTCCGAGAGTAACGACTAGTTGCGCGCACTCGTCTACGGTATGGGAGTGAAAATAAACTTGGTCGTTGCACTGTTCGCACGGAAATTTCCGAGAACCTATCCCTGCCTTCGCTCTCCATTCAAATTCCTTCAGCGTTCCATCAGAATGCTGGAGACTCGCGCACCTTCTCTAGTATCGCAATCTGAGCTCCGGGGATCGGTGAGTGAATGGGGTCTGACCAACCAAGTTGACATCTCTAGGACGATCCTCGTTGTAGAGCAACCAGTGAAAGCATCGATTCGGGACAGTGGGAATCGCGATTGAATCGCCAGTACACGTACCACAATCAAGTGTGAGGAGAGGACCCAAACGCGGAGAAGTGTAGAATTCATTGCCATCTCAGAGGGATATTGAGAGAGTTCGGAGCGCTCGTTACAGCGTCGACCAATAAAATTCTGATCACTCCGAATTGTATCAGCGTCTTCCGTGACGTGCCAATTTGCTAAAAGGAATTTTCCCCATTCCAGTGAGAGGATCCATGTATGTATGTCTCGCTTCAGTCGACTCCCCAAATATTTAGCACATCGCACAGCGTCCCTCGATCTCGCTCTCAGCGGTTCTCGAATCTCGTTGAAGCTCTTCGCGTACTTCTGAGCCTCATTTGTCCCCATTTCTGTCCCGCGATCTTCTCCTATCCTTCCGAAGTTCCCAAGCGTCCGTACTGTCTCCAGCGCTCTTGCCGACTCTCTCTCTGATGATTCTCAGCAGAAATCCAGGAATTGAGAACGGGAGGCGAAACTCTCGCGGATCGACCCCGTAATCCCTTAAATGGACGAAGTACACTTAAGTGATGAAAAACCCCTGGATGTGTTAATTCGGATGGGGATCACCTTCGGGATAAGCCTCCACGGGCTCGTAGCCCGGGACAACGCTCTCTGAATGATTCCAAAATCGGAGTCGTAAATTATTTCCGAATATCGATTCGAGCATCTGTAGTCCCAGTAGCTCTGCAGCTGTGTATACATTCTCAGAAGGGCGGATTCAGTTCCCGGTCTCACCCTCTCAGATTCTCTCTCACCCTCTCTGACGACTTGTTTTAGATATAAACGTCTGAATGCGTACCGGGATCCCTGATCGATGATTCAATGGAATCTTCCCGCACCTAGCTAAATGAGTCATGAAACCCCGCAGTTGTTTCGCTCCCTCTCGAGGGATGGATTCTGTTTCCTCCACAGTTATTTATCATACTTGTCAGAGGTTTCAATCATAGACATTGTGGAGTCGATTTCTTCCCTGGAGACTCCGAGATGCGAGAGCGGACAGAGAGCAGAAGTTTTCGAGGAACTCCACTTTTCGGAGCTGCCACGCATCCATGGGGTGATACTCCGAAAACTTGAAGCCGTTGACAGGGTTCTCTCACTCGACACGTTTCTGTCAGCCAGAGTCTGGAGAGCCTGAGAGTCTTTCAAGACAAAACAGAAAGAGATCTCTTCGCTGGGAGTCGAAGGTTTCCCCTGAAGGACGACGTATACGAAAGTGACGGACAACTCAACGCAGACAGATTTCCCAAGACGCTCGTTACCGACCACCAAAAGTTTTATTAGCTTCCCTGTGTCGCGCGCTCGTTCCGATTGTTGAATGGACCTTTCCGTGTCGTTCGCACCTCCCCCTCGCGATACGTTCGGCTTTCGAGCACCGTGGCAGCTCGGCTTTATTTGACTGCTGCAGCGAGGGCGACGCTGAACTCCCTTTTGACGGCTGAGTGTCCCAGTCCCAGTCGACTCGGTGATTTCAGCCTCCGAGGTAGGCGTGTGTCGAGATTGTGGAAATTCTCGGGTCCTCCGGCATGAGATCATCCGTCTCCTCGAAGGCTCGAGTCGTCGGATAAGAACTCGTTCATCGGAGAATTCCAGTAACCGAGTACGCCGACGGACCACATACCTCCTGTTGCTGAATTCTGGAAGTTTCATCTCGAAGTTCACGGCTTGGTGGGGAAAGGTCGCCGAAAACGCCTGTGAATCATTCACAGAAACGAGTCCGGTTCGGTATGCGGGGCGTAGACGCGAATCCTATTCATGAGCTCACGACGCGCGGGATTAATTCAAATGCCCTTAAAATCATATTGTGACAAACATTGTCCCTTTTTCCCCGTAGGGAGCAAGCTGGCGAAAATAAGCCCGCTCCCCCACGGGGGGAAGGGTGAGGGAACTCGAACGCCAGTCAGTCGCCAACACGGACGCCTCGTTGTACTAACATCAAGGCCGACAATCACGGCCAGAGCAACCAGATGTACATAGGAGGCGTCGTTGTAGCGAGCAGTGGCTATAGGACACCTGCAAGAGTGACAACAGCAGCGACGACGGGAGAGGACAGGCAAGCGGCGGAAAAAACAGGCATAGCAGCTGCAGTAGAGCACTTGTCGACGTGGTCACGTAGAGCGCGTCACTTCTTGTTTGTCTTAGTGAGTAAGCAAGCAAGATAGAGACTCGGTCTGGTCACCGACGGAACCTGAGAAGTCAAAAGAAGCCGCGACTCTGCGATGGAGCTCATCGAGACGCAAACGTGGTTCTCCTGCTGTACCAGTCTGATGGGGATGAGCATGAACGGCTCCTCGTCCTCTCTTGTTTCACGAAAACTCGGCGTCCTACTTCGGCACATCGAATCGATTCCTCCTATGGTAACGCTGCGAAGCCCCGTCGACACAGAGATTCTCGCTCGAAACGAGCGAGGACGCGGCTGCCGATCCCGGTTCCCGGGATCGGACTAGAGCTTCTGTGAGAGATTCTCCCCCTTTTCGGAATGCGAGCGAAGTGATTCGGCGATTCTCTGACGGGACGGTGTCCCCTTCGGCGGAAGTCTCCGATGAAGGAGGGATCCGCGCCCCGTATCCTGTGCAGCTGTGTTGTACTAAGTACACTCTGACGATATTCCATCCAAAAAACGTTCTGGTTCGCATCGTATCCACGGATCGATCGGTTGCCGGGAATTAGGATGTTAGGTATTCAGAATTTCATCTCTCCTAAAGAGCCAGACAGCGACAACGAGACCTTGCTTGAACGCTTGCTCGCTTGCCCGCCGGCAAACGAAAGTCGAGAGCGCCTCCTGGCGGATCCTCACCGCCAGGAGAAGGGCAAACCTCTCCGGCTTCCAGAGTTGGCGCGGACCCAAACGAGTGTGGAGCTCGTGCGCTGTCAAACCGAAACACAGCTAACCATGCCGTGGAGCGTGCAAGCGCATTAATTTCCTTCAGCGGATTTTATCTCAGTGAGAACAACTGTGGAATCTAAAGTGATCTTGATTGAGCCGATCTTGCCGGAGTTGCGCGCAGAGTGAATGACGGTCTCTGAGCACCTCTTGAAATGACAATTTGAAATGCTGTCGCCGACATCATCGAGTCGTTCGCGAACGAAACGTCTTGACGACGTCGAACTCAGGAGACGGCCGTGGATTACTGCAGCTGTTGCCGTCGGCGTTGGCTCTTCTCCGAATGCTCTTGATGTTCTCGTCGCATCAGCAGTTTGTTCAAAGTGATCGACTGAGAGGCGGGGATCAAGTGTCAACCAGGCGCTAACTCGACAAGGCGAGCGATATCGCGAACACCATCGGAAGGATACCAATTGTGCACATGTGACTGAACGTGGCAGAGGCAGCGAAATCTGCGAGATGACCGGCATACATCTGCTGTTCCGGTTGCTACTGGTGGCAGGCGTCACGGTGTCTTTAACGTCTCCGACAACGGCCAAGATCAATCACCGGACTCATCGGCACGCTATAATCCAACCGCCTGCGGACAAATTGAAACCGTTCGGTGAGTCTTTCAACGCGACATCTCCCCACCAGCTTAGCTCGCGACAGAGCTCATCGGCGGCGACCGGAGGTTCCGAACTTAGATCCGAGCGTGCCACGCTTCCCGAGCCGAGCTGATCGGCGTGAATTCCCGAATTTCGGTGCTTATGGTGTTGCGTACCGCTTGGCGGAAGGTTCCCGAATCCCCTACCCCGCTTGCTCCATGGCTCGCCTCCCCTGTCGACGGCAATTTTGAAAATTTCAAACAGCGCTCCCTAAGAGCTATGCAATGAGACGACGTCTAAAACATGGCCACTCACTGGCGGAACGCCGAAACCAACTGAACTCTCCCATATTCTCTTCAGCCCGCGACTCCTGCCATACGCCCACCCGCAGCGAAAGTGGAGCGAGTCTGAAAGAAAGTTTTTTTTTCTGAGCTAACAATTGACGCGATGCCGAGAGCTAAGAGTTTATTTCTGAGTCGCAGTGGTCTGTCTCGCTCGCTTGTTTCACATCGATAGACAGCGTCGACTGGTACTGCGTTGACTGCTGGCTCCGGATCTTTTCCGCGGAGTGGAATTTCTCGCCGATCGACGGCCAGCGTCCAAAGGCTCGAGGCATCGGGTCTGAAGGGGGAGAAAGAGTCCAATCTTCAGACAAGTCGCGCGCCGCTTTGGTACTTGTCGTCGCAGCCGCTAGCCAAAACGAGATACGTTGGGCGGGACACGACAGCCGTGACAACCACGGCTACTTTACGTCTTGGCTAATAATTAACACCGAGTTTCATCCACGTTGCTCTTTGCGACGGGATGCTCGAGAGCACTCTCTCGAGGTCAAGACGGACTGAGGTTTTTCTAATTCGGCCGCAATCGCCTCAGCCGTGAATCTGCCTTATTTTAGTGTATCTCTTTGGTTACTTTTTCATCACCAATCACCGCGAACGCCATGCCACTGTCTCTCTGCGAATCGTACGTCCGCGTCGATCGCCGAGAACGTCGACTCCGATACTAGACGAGTGCCTTGTGATTTTCATCCAGACGTTTCCAGGAGGACTCGGGAGCTCAAGCCCTCTCCTCAATTCTTTAGTCCTTCTCGGTCGGTTCGGATGAATACCTTGGACCATGAGCGATGAATTTTCGGTCCTGCGCGGGTTTTCCCCCGAGATCCTGGCCCTGAAGATCACATTCGGAGAACTATCACAGCCTTGGAGCGATAGAGCTTTCCTCATTTGCTGTTCTGCCGCTGAGCGTGTTTCCGGCTCCAGTGCACGCTGGCGTTTTTAAGCTCCGAGGCGGCAGCAGACAATGTCAAAGTCTTGGAGTCTCCTTATTTCCTCTTCTTGTGCTAGACGACGAAGCGGCGTCTAGGCCCTGATAGAAAATGAGCTCCGGGGAACATGGAGCCAAATGCAGAAAAACTTCACCTGCTCCGCGAGCGTGCGATTCCTCTTGATTCATCGACTGCTTCCCGGATCAGGGACAAACAGCGCAAACATCAGCCGAATCATCCGATTGTGCGAGCTGAAGGAAGGCGAGCGGGTCGACAAAGAGCACAGAAAAGTCGGCAGCTCCGCAGAGATCGTCGAGTTCCGGGATCGACGTCGGCAACATTGTCACATGTACGACGGGCGACACTGATAGAGCGGAGTCGCCAGACCTTGAACTCCCCCGAGTGTTTCCTGCCTACATACTCATCCTTCTGAGTATCGGTGGTGTACGTTCCGGAGTTCATCGACTCTGTTGACGACGGGCAGATCGACCTTTCCATTTGTCTCCGGCTCCAATCCGTCTGATGGAAACTCCTCGAGTCGTTCCATATTCCAGGGCAAGGACGACTCGTCCGAGCCTGGACTCGGATCTAGGACGATTGATTATTTATCGTCCGTCTTCGTCTTGGCTGACGAGCGTGAGCCCGTGATTCTCAGAAAAGAAAGCAGAAGAGAAAAAGGAGCAGTCAAAGTCTGGCCGAGAGAAGATGTCATCTGATAAGAATCGAAATTCTCTCTCTGGATGGAAATCAAATGAGATCTCCGGACTTTCTGGAGAGAAAGAAACTTAGTGATCCTGCTGGGAAGATCAGACGCAATCGTGATGGCTTTTGAACGCGACAGGAAGATCTTTGGGAGCGTCGCTCGCAGTGAGAGGTTCTCGGAGGAAGGCGACGGAAGAGCCCGGCCGCGGAGGAGAGTTTCGACGTCATCGGTGGTGGCCACAGAAGTCGAGTGTGCAAGAAAATCTCAGGACCTTCGGTGACTGCCGACGACGACGACGGGTTGAGGAATAATTCATGATGCACTTGGCGCGGTCAGCGCCCGTCCATTCATTAGTTCACGCGCGCGCGCGGAATTCTTACGCAGGCGACATTAGTCCTCACTCATTCGTCGGCTCCTGACGCGTCGTTCGAAGATTTGAGCGGAAAAGGGAGCGAGCGAGCGAACGGGACGGGCAATCTCGTCTACGACGCGAAACAAGAGTCGAACCGCATGGGACAGAGGCGTTTTATTGCGGAACGCAGGCTCATAGCTCACTCAGCTCCGCTTCTGCCTATAACTCTCGTTGTTGCTGTCGAGCTCGTTGTCGCCGCTGTTATCCTTGTCGTTGGGTGGTGACGGACGCCATCCGCTGACTACTCCTATTGTGAAAGGTTTGAGAGGAAAGGGCCATCACCCTTGCTTTCTTTTCGTTGTTTTCTTGTTGTCGCTGACGTTGTTACTACCAGAAACGGAGACGACGACGACAACAACAACAACGAGATCGCTAGGGGAATGGCGGTAACAAGTTGTCGGTATTCTTCGTAGACGAGAGAAGAGACGTCATGCAATGCGCGCATCATTTACTCTGAATAAACTGCAATGACTAGCACATGAATGGAAGTCGCCGAACCTCTCAGAGCTTCGAGCGGATTCCGTTGTCGTCGGGGCTTAGCACTCGCGCACGCCGATTCAAAGAGAGGTCCGGATTCCATTGTTATTCGATCGCTGGAATATCCCTACCAAGACGAGTCGCTCCGCCACCAGCGAGAGCTGAGGCCCTGAGATCGTGGAGTTAGGATCATCGTCGTCCGCATAGAGAATACGATCACACGAGAGCTGTTTTCCCTCGTCGAAAGGAATCCGACTCCCTCGTATGAGGGCAGCGAAGTCACGCGTCGCATACGACGCATCGTGACGAAAGTTCCCCGAGCCGATCCCAACCCTTTCACGTCCATCGCGTCTTTTTCGCTTGCCGAGCATCGACCGAGAGGACTTCAGGGATAGAGAGAGGATCCCGTGATGTTCTTTTATATGGCTCAGAGATTGGGCGGAGATGACATCGAAAGCTCCTACTCATGTATATTCATTTGTTGAGCTTACAGTTTTTTCTTCAGGCCCTTTCTCATGTCGGAATGTTCGGTACGTACGGCTTCCGCTCGCCGAGCGAGCCGACGACGCGACGTGGCTCGCTGAACTCCAAAACCCTTTCTAATATTTTCTCTTTTCTCCGGCGTTCTGTTCGATTGTCGATAATTCCCCGGGACAGTTTCTTTCCCTGTCGTCAGTCTCTTCCAATGAGTTCCTTCCGATCGCTCCTGCGGCGAAATGAGAACCAGTGAAGAGAAACGATGAAGTCGACGACGACTCACCGGGGGATGATGACGGCTGTCCGGCAGTGGGCCAGGCGGAGGCTGGAGAAAAATTACCGGAAGGCCAATTTTAACACGCTGTGCGGCGGGCCGTAGCTGACTGTCACGCATCCCGTTCATACAGTCGTAGAGATGCAAATATCGTCATTGTTAGGAGCGAAACTATTCACTGTGTCACTGGGCGGAAGCGGGCCCCGACTACGTCCATTTCTAGGTATGCGAGCCCGCCTCCAAGTGAAATATATACATACATACATGGGTGCTCTATGAGCTCGCTTTTGCCGGGATATCTTCATTCAAGTGCGTTCGGGTACGACTTAGCTTCCGTCGACGTGAACGCAAGCGTGCCCGGTCGGGCACCCGAGTGCAAATATTAGAGTCGTGGTGACAACGGCAGCAGAGCTCGTGGGGCGCGCTTTTTCCTTGCTCCGACGAAGACAAGGCCGGCACGGGAAAGAGTGCTCTGACCGGAATTCGCACACCGTTCGACCCGGAGCCGTTTTATAGCCTTCTCGGCTCCAACGACACTTGGCAGTGTGCGCCCCAGTGAATTTCCTCGTCGTCGACTTGCGCTGCTGCTGATTGTGCGACTCGGAGAACCTCGGCCGTAGCAAGAGGGAAGTCCAGAGAAGGGGCTCGAGTCAAAATCCCTGCTCTCTGCCTGAGTCTCTCGGTATCAGCGACTCGCTGACTGGGCTTAGAGCTCTCTCAATAATCTTTTGTGCATGTGGGCGGTCTGGCCAGGCCACGGGGTAGACGAACGACAGATGTGGGTCTTCGTTCTTCGGGCTTTTCAGACGGCAACCGTCGCGTCCTTGCCTTGTTTGGGCGCTGTCGGAGGTCATCGTCGGAAGAAAACTCTTATCAATGCATCTAGTCATCGATGCGCGGGATGTTCCCCTTGGAGAGTTTCCCTGGGAAAAGTGAATGGACCCGCCCCGAAAGTTTCTCCTCTACTCGCGCCCACTGGGAATACGGACCCTGATCAGGCTTGCAGAGACTCTGTGGCCGCAGCTCTACGCGAAATTATATCAGTCCTCGGAGAATTCACATTCCGGAATCATGGCGAAGCCGGAGCAAAACTGAGGGAATAACCCACCCGAGGGCTCAACAAGGCGCGCCCGGAAAATCCGTGGGAGCCAGTCTCGGCGGTCCTCCGAACCAGTCGGATTTCACAAGAAGCCCGTCGCTAGTCGATTGGTTACGCGCTGCTGTTGTATTCTGCGCGTCGTGGGAAGCGATCGATTTATCGGCATTCCAGCTCATCGCAATGCATAAAATCGGTGGTGCTGCGGCGGCGGCGACCGCCGTTCGCCTGCCAATGCTGAGGCCGGTCGCGCATACGATGCTCGACATACTTGAACAATGAATGTGCTCTGGCGGCACAGGATGTCGATAGAT